GCTGGTCCACCAGCCCGCCAACACGCTCCGCGTTGAAAATCATTTCCTTCACGTCAAGGGTTTCATCAATTACCTGAAAACAGTCACAAAAGCGTTTTATGAAAGGAGCCATACAAACAGATGGGAGAAGGAACATGAAGGCAGACACGACTGCTTTAATGAATACCAGCAAAGGCTCAGAACCACCTACCATCCTTCTCCTGCTCTCAACAGCGTGGGGTGTTCTCCAGCTTTTAAAGCCACTCGAGTTAGTACTGCAACCATTTGGACATCCAGACTCTCTCAAACTCAAGGCCCACGTGAAAAACTAGGTCCTAGCCTTGGGCGCAGCATTTCCGTCGTGTTAAGATCTAACCTGTGGCTTTAAAACCATTTTCCAAGGGAACTCTCAAAAGCTGACCTGTTTTTTTGTTTTTTAAAAGCCAGGGAACTGAGGCAAGGCGGCTGCCACTACAACCTAGTGAACTCTTGACACTGTAGACAGAGCTAATACCTACTGGGTCGCTCACATTTCCGAAGGCAGCGAGGCCTTTCTTGCCACGCAAAACAGGTGGGAAGGCAGATGGAACACGCTAGCATTGGGTGTATTGGGATAGCAAGCTACCTAGCTAAAATAAAGGCCTATCAAAGGGTCTCTGCTTGGGAAAGCAGTTACTAAATCAGACGGTTCCCCAGCTCAGACTGCCACAGATCTAGATCTCTCTCCTTCCCTCGCCCTCCCACCTTTCTGATGCTAATCAGTATTAAGAGCCTACAACAGTCAGAAAACTGACTCCCCCACACCATATGGATAATAAATACACTGACATTCTGTAAGCAGGAAGGAGACATGGAAACAAGCCACTGCTATTAATTAGTGTCCACGGCAGGCTTTGCTTTACAAAATAAAGGTGGAGAGCTCACCACGTTTTCATCCACTTTGTTCTTGCTGTTAATCACTTTTTCTTCGGCGCCAATCAGCCCATCCAACTCGGTCATGCCAGAACCTGCACCAAAAGAGCGAGGCAGGGACCGTCAGTCAGCCCTCGGTGACATTTCGGAAGGGTTACCTATTCTCTGTAGAGCTGCCATGGCTAACGTGTTTAACCGCACGGACCGCTGATTATTAATCTGTCTTCATGCTGTTGTGTCAGAAGGGGAGCTCATAAGCTACGCTACAGCGACAAGTGATCGGGAGGGGTTCTGTTAATGAGGGGAAATGAGGTGGCAATGAGAGGAGCAGACAAGACTCACCAAAACCAGGCTGAAGTGTAAATCCAGACACACCATACTGTTAAGCGCTGCTGTTAGAGAAGGCCCAAGGCAAGGTGTAACGCAAACCGTGAGCGCGCAGTTGCTTTCCGCAAATGTCACCCCGGGTCACCCCACCACCTCACCGTGACCCCCCGTTGACGGAAGTACACCATCTCCTTTCTGCCGAGAGCCAGCGCACAAGGGATCGCTTTCAACCGTTCTTTTGAAATCAAGCGCATCAGCAAGCGCCTCCGGAATGAGACTTTCAAGGTCACCCAGCGCGGCTCTGTAATGAGCTGCCGTCCCGTATCTGGCACGGGCCCAGAAACAATAAATCCCAGGGCAAGGGAGGAGCAAAGAGCTACACTTGCCTTTGTGCCAGAACATCGCTCGCCCATTTCTAGGCTGAAACCAGCATAAGCTCAAGAGAAAAATATCAATTAACAGAAGGCGGCTGCTCTGCATAAACTGTTTTGATCTGAAGCGTTTATAAATAGATCAGATCAATAACAGAAGAGTCTGGTGCAAGACACTCAGACTTAACGTAACACAGCAAGTTAGGAGAACGCCAGTTTTCCATTAAAAAAAGTCACGTCCTTCACGACACCTATGCCTCCCTAACGCAAAAGCAGGAGGGCAGCGAAGCCTCAAACCCACGGCACGGTCTCTCCAACGAGGAGCACGAGGCAGGGGAAATATTACTACAGCACGTAACGCTGTGCCGGCGATTGCATACACCTCTCCGCAAGCTGCTGAGCTTGCAGGTTGCCTAAAACATTATGTCAACCGCTGTCGCAACTGGCAGCATGTTCCCTGATGAGATGCAAGGAAAGGTTAGTCGGCTCCAAGGCAGGTTTTTACATAGCGACAAGCTTTTACGGCCTGAAAATGCCAAGGAAACTAACGTTTCACTCCAACTCTTCCCCAAAGAAGCACCTCGGGTTTTAGCGCATCCCCTTTCCCCGTGCGGTTCTTTGGAGACAGTAATCAGATTCCAAGCACGGCCAAGACTGCCAGTCTGACTTCTCACGGCTGTTGAAGCAGGTCATGTTATCGTGAAAGTCAATGATTGGGATTTTCTGGAGAGACTAGTCACAAATAGTTTTCAGAGAACTACCGTGTCAGCTTTTGGCCTACGGCTGCTTTATTCAATTCTCAGGAGCCAGCGTAGCATAGTCTCCAGGGCTGGGAGTTCAGCTGCTGCATTGAGCTTTGCTATTTGTCACAGAGCGCTGTACCAAATAACAGAGCCAGGTCTATGTAGCTTAAAGGCACAGTTTAGACTATATAATTCCCAGGGGGAAAAACAAACAGACAAGCCAACCACACACATGTGCACCAAAATCCCCTAAAACTCCCTAGCAGCCCTCGTGAAATTCAATGAAAAGCGAAGCGAGAGAAGGAGCAAGTGCAGGATATAATCTTTGTCCCCAAGTCATCAGAAACTCTTCCGTTCAGCCAAACGGGGAGAACCAGCCTATGTTGATCATCTTTAGGTCAAAAAAAACCCCAAACCACCAAACAAAACAAAACCCAACATCAACAAAAAAATCACACTAAAGGCTGTCCCAATTTTTTCCAGAGCAGTCAGTACACTGAATTAGCCGTACGCTGCTCCACAAGAGGGATGAAGGTGACTTACGTTTCTAGAGAAACGCTGATGATGAGAATAGTTTCAAGCTAACCGGCCTTCACCATGTTACAAAACTATTTGTGTTCCTATTAAATGGTTATTAGCAAAATCCTTTGCTCCCCTTTGAGATTCTGCACAATACATTTGGAACCAAAGGCACATTAAAATGCTGGGTTTACTCCCCACGCATAGCACACGGATCACTGTTCCGCAAGGGCATTTTAGGAATTAGCCTTCCGTTCCTACTTCAGGAACTAGATCTGTGGTAGCAGATCCGCCAGGCCTGATCTTCACCCGAGACTGTATCGCTAACAGAAGATTTATTTTAATGCCAACATTTCTACGCCGCTCTTACAAGCCCAGGCAGCCCCTTTTTAGCCAGGTACCGAGTTACTGCAGAATTAACGATGAGCTAAAGGAGCAATGGATAATCACACAGGACTTTGCTAGTACAGAGAGATGCCACGTGTGAAAAAGTGATGCCGAGGAGACCACAAACACAAAGAAGGACTCTCCTAATTTATCTCTCCCAGACCAGCCGCACTCTGTAACATCTCCAAGGAGGACATTTAACCGGGAAACACAGCCTTCGTCTGCTGCAACACTCTCATTCCTTGTTCGGCGCCGTCATCGGGCGGTAAGGACAGATTCCACGGCAGGCAGAAGAGCCTCCAGACTATTTACCATCAGGACCGCAAGGTTTATTTTGAGAAGTGTCAAACATGAGTAGACATGGAGAGATGCAAAGTACTGCGCGGTTGCAGACAGACCGCGAGGCCCGCGTTTCTTGAGGGCAAAGAAGCTACTCCGTGCACCCTGAGACACCTTGTGAGCCCGTCGGGGAGGAACATACACAATCAATCAGATGCTCAGACTAGCTCGTTTCTTTAACACGAGGCCTAAAGAAGCAGAATCGACAGTTACCGATCTAAATGAGAGCAGGGGAATGAAAATAAAGGCGAGTATGGAACTAAAATGAAGCTATCAAACACACTGAGAAGGTAGGAGAGTGATCGAAAGCACTGTGAGGGAGCAGCTTAGAACCAACCTTTTTTCATTGGATGGTACAAATCCGGCTGAGGATCTAGCAGGAGGGAAAACAAAAACAAAAATAGCAGAGAAAGGAGATTAAGAGAGAAAGGAAAAAAGGCTTGCGCATGACTTCTGACTCAGACCCTGGGAAAAGCTTTTAGTCTACAGCTTTCTTTAAGCTCAGGACTCTGTTCAAGCACTTTTAAAATAAATACACACGCACACACCAGCTGTCAGCACCCGAGGATATAAAAAATACAGATACATATTTTTAAAAACAAAGACAGAATTCCTGCAGCCCTTCAGCAGGTCACAGCACAAAGACTTAACATTACATGAGAGCGTTTTGGTTAAAGACTGAAAATTAATTTCAGAGTCAGGCCACAACAGTAAAAATTTAACACTCCCTGCACAATGGAAAGAGATGAAACAATTTTGCAAAGAATCAGAAAATCAAGACAGCAGCTCAGTGCAAATTACTAACGGCACCGCCTCTTTCCAATGGACAGGGTCTGAGGGGTACTGCTGGGGTGACTGCTTTACTATTAAATGACCCAAAGGGACCACGCTTTCTGTGCTGCCGTGATAAGCCTACGGTTCTTTTTAAAAAAAAAGAAAAAGCACCTATGTTTCGTAAAGCCAGTCAACCCAATTTTCAGTTCCACATACCTTCGCTTTTGGGCAAGGCTGGGAAGGTTTTCACCTGGAACGGACGGAAAGGTTTGCCTTCCAGGGGAATTTCTTCGCTCTCCTCAGAGCTCACTCTGACGTCCACCTGGGATTCAGAAATGGAGGATGTGAACTGATCCATGTCTGCACGTTGCTCCTGAAGCAGCTCATCTGAAAGGAATAAGAGGAAATATTATACAAACGGCATGAAGCCTGGCAGCAACAGAAAGGGGCAGATGGTTTGAACCGAGCTGAGGCAGGGCTGCAGGGGAACGCTGTCGGGGGCTGCCAGGTTATCTTATCTCGCACGCTCTGAAGTCTCATCTGGAATCCTCAGTAAAGGCGCTGGCTAGAAATACACACAAATAAGGGCCAAGAGGTTTGATGTGGCAAGAGGTTTTGGCAAGATGGGATTAAACTCTACAGCGGGAAAGCATCTGCTGATTTTTACGGATCTTTTTCACCTCCCTTTGAGAGACAGCTTCGCTACTCTGAACGTTGCTGACCTTTTTTAAACGGACAGTGAAAGTTCTTACGAACAAGCCATTCCGACTGGTTGTGTCGCAACCCCCAGACAATATCTGCCCTGCGGGACCTAAGCCTAAGCCCCAGTGCTTGTTGTTGAGGGCATCCCCTCAAAGGAGCTAGCAATCTTCCTGGAGCCCACTTCACTTGATATAAAAGCTTGCAGTCTAACAGGGTGGAACGGGAGCTGGCACACAGAGACACTCACCAATCTCGTCCTGGATTTCTTCAGCCACATATGGTACCTTGTAGAGCAGAGACAAGCTTTGATTCATCCGCTCCTCAATCACATGGAGATGTGTCATCACCTGCAAATGTACAAGAGCGTGTTGGAGTAGGCAAAGGCTGTCAGTCGCTTGACTGGTACCGGTACTTCACTCGTTTACTGAAATATCTACTACTGGTGGATCTGCCGTGACAGACAACAGAACGGGACTCAGATCCACCCAGTCCAGTTCTCTGACCAATGCTCTCTAAGGCATCATGCTTCCCTGGAACCGGGCGTTTGCACATGGCGTTCTCAGTATTTTGGGAAAGGCTGGGGGTGAGAGAGAGGATTGAGCTGACTCCTGCCGTAACCAGCTCTCCGCTGGAAACACCGAAGCTGGTATTTCCCGTACGCCAGATACGGTCGTAATTCATTCCCCGCAGCAGCTACAAGCAAGTGCTTATTAAATGGATTATATCATTCCTGACTGCTAGAAAAGATACACGCAAAGGGAGCAGGCAATATTATTTATCAACTCCGGTTTCAGAACAAAGGTGCCTTTCAGAACAACGGTGGCATTACATTTATCTTACACCCACTACACCCACTCACTGGCAACAGCATTCTCCCTTCATTTGAGAAATAAATTCAAACTCTACGCAACCTCAGATGGCTCTTCCCAGGCATACTAAATTCACCGGTGAAGTCAAGCCTGACCTGAAGAGGGTGCTGCATAATCAGGGATCATGCAGACCAAGAAAAACACTTACATGGATGGCCAAATGTTGGGGGGGGAGAAAAAAACAAAAGCTATGGAGTTGAATGGACCTGTTTTAGTCTGACGCGTACCCGACCTTCCAGAGCAAGGATGAAAGCAATTTAATTTTACATGTGGCAGCTTGTCAATCAGGGGAATCGATTGAGGAGCTTAAAGTGCATCTGAAAAGTAAAGCGAATGGAAATTGAACTGTACCACCTACATCCCTTGCATGTCGATTTGTTGACACTGCAGCCTTCAGAATGAATTAAGGACTGTTTAGGTTTTAGCTTAAGAATACAGTTCACACATTCCCTCTCGGGCTTTGGCAGCATCAGAACAAAGGGTCAGGGTGGATCGTGCTTGATATGCTAAGTTGCCTCTGAAAACGCTATCGCGCATTCCGCATTGCGAGCCAAACATCAGCTTGTAAATACCACAATCGTTACTACTCTTTCCGAGGACGCGCAGTTTAACAAGAATCATAGAAGCAGCGGCAGACAAGCCGAGAGGCAAGCGTTGAAGCTACACTGCTAGCACCCAAGAACAACACGAAACCCGTGGGACCAGGCACCTCCAAGCGGGAGGTTCCTTTCTAGAAAAACCACTGCAAAACCACTCGACACCTCATCAGAGGTGACAGTAACAGACCCCAGTCCCCGTCTTACTCTTAAACCACAACGTTTCCATCTACCCGTTATACAGCCAAGTAACGAAGCGTATTTTCTCTCAGAGCTCATTTCTTTCCATTTGGCAGCACTGGATCTGCCCCACCGCATTGTCTCCTTGGAGCTCTCCATTCTTTTCTGTTCCTGTGTATCTTTCACACGTTACAGACCCCAAAGATATTTCAAAGCAGCAGACCAGCCACAAACCGGGACCGGTAAAACACAGATTAGCTTCGTAAAGCTGAGACTGGACAGTCAGTTCTCTCTAAATTTGTGAAAGGACACGCCCTTAACAAACAGATCTTTCACTGTTAACAGGTCATTCTTCATTCGAATCTTAGTTACGCCTTTCAGTACATCTTTCACCATTTTAAAAGTAGGTTGTCAAAACAAGTATCAGGACATAATTCAAAAGATTTGTGGAATATCTCCAAGTACTCGTACAATGGCCAGGTTTGACATCCGCTTGAAGCAGCATAATCACATACACTACCCAGCAGGAGGAAAATGGCCGTCCGGTTGTTCAGGAGTGTAATATATTACAACAGCACAAAATAAACTGATCAAAACAAGACTTTCTAATAAAGCTAACGATGATGCTCAAGTGCTTGGCAAGGGTTACGCATGACGCTTTGGAAACAAGGCAATAACTCTGCAGAGGCACAAGAGAATTCCCACAAACCCAAAACACAGGCCTCCTGAAGAACAAGCCTAACGAAAGGAACACAGAGACATGAGGTCTTGGAAGAAGTGAGGAAGTCTGCTCAAGGATGACCAAGTCCTCAGCAAAAAATTTCATCGGTGTCCAACAAAAGGGAACACAAAAACGATACCAAACTAGTTCTAAACCCCTAGACTCGTCATTATTGTGACCAACAATAATTCACGTATAAGCCAGAGCTCGAATTTTTAACGC